TAAGCAAGGAATTCCTTGGCTAAAACTAAATGTGGCTGCTTTGCATGGCGTCTTAGGTGCTTTCAGTAACCAGGGATACTCCAGCTCCCTAGACCCTCTCTTATTTTAATTGACTTTGGCCTGCAGGAGGCTTTTGCCCATCCAGACCTTTCTGGGGGGAGAGAGAGAAGAGGCTCGGGAGGAACAGAAGGTGAATAGAGCTCTCTCAGAAACTAAAGGGTGCAGCCCACTAGCGCCGTTCTTGTTAGTTTGCTCATGGTCTTTGTTCTCCTTTCAACCCTTCTGGCTAAATGTCTTCAAACAAACCATTTGGAGGTCATGATTCTTTCTGACAGGTTTATAGCAAAAAATTGGACTTTGTTTTTACAGTTAGGCGAGGAAATATTGTTGATAATGTGAGGGTGATGTGATGGCAGGATGTGTAGTGGTCGGAGTCCAGGGTTGACAAGGGAGCAGGTGGCTATTAGATACAGAGTGCGGCTGGTGGGGGGGAGTCATAAGTGCTTTTGGCATCTGCCTTACCTGCTGCCTCCCGTACAGCCCCCTGCCAGTGAATGGAGGAAAGGAAGGAGGCAGGGAAAAAAGGCAAAAGACAGCGAGAAGCAGGAGCAGCAAGTTAGAGAACAACCTTTCTAATCGTTGCCGTTTATGTCATGTTTTTAGGATTATCTTTTTCCACCTGCTCCAAATGGTATTATGCCATTCAACTAAATATCGATATCATGAGACTCTATGTAGATACCTCCAGTGTACGTTTTGATTTATAGCTTAGTGTCTGATTTCTATCATTGATATAGGTAGCATCACTACAACTGTAGACAGATGTGTCAATAACCAGCCTATATTCACCACAGTAACTGCGGTTATGTTCTGTCAGTGACTTTGTGATACAGGTGATGTGGGAAAGTAGACAGTTTGCAACAGAGATGACTTTGCTAGATGTGTATCACTGAAAAGAATAAGATGACTGAGCCTTTTTTCAACTTTTCATTCTCAGTAATCTCTAGTGGCACCAGAAACCTCCCCACCTGATGTTACACGTTGACGCCATAGCTTCAACATGTAGAGGTGGTGCATGTCAGTGGTGTAGCTACAGGGCCTATGCTTATGGTAGTAGTTTCATATTAAAACTTTTCATCAAAGATATTTAAATTTGGTTAAAAGACTTTGTTTATAAGAAAATATACAGCAGTGATTATAGGTGTAATTTGGGTTAGATGATTTTGAATCTGGAAGCCGGGGTGTTTTTAATCGGCACAGTCTATCTCTTTGGCTTCTGTCTGTATGTGCAGTGGAAGGTGGGGTGGAAGAGCATTATCATTGGAAAGAGCATTAAACAACTGCAGTCCATGTCATTTGTCATGTCTCCCTGGGGCTTTTTGACAGCGAATAAGCTGGGAGCTGCAGGCCCAGATACTGAACCACCCATCTAGTCCCAGCAGATGCATTTACTGACCTTCGCCGTGGCTGACCATCAGGCTACACAGCTGAGCACCAGAATATCAATATGGCTCACACTCAGCCAGGCCCCTGGGACTATATACAAGGCAAACAGAACAGAATGTCTACTTTTGGAAGATAAAGCCCCATCACCACCAGGAAAACCAATAAAAACAGTGCAGAAAGATCCTCTGTAGCACCAAACTACAGCTTGATTCATTTCAGGGTAGTAGCTGTGATTTGGAAGAGCTACATGTGAGACAGTTATCTCCAGCTCTGGCTCTTCTTGGGGAGGGCAACAGATTAGTCTATTGAAGGGTTGTCTTTGGGAGGACAGAAGAAAAACACATAATCCTTTGGTGTTCATCACCTGCACTGTCCAGAGGGACGTTTGGGTGAAGGAGAAGGAGGAGAAGGAGGAAGAGACTGAGGAGTAGCAGGTTGGCTGTTCCTCCTCTTGTCATATGAAAGTTTAACCTCTAAGTCAATGACTGAGCTCCTCTCCTTTAAAACAAGTTGGTGCTCAGTGAAGGTAGCAATTTTGTGTGGTGCTAAGCCCTTTATCTCATGGTGGGGAGGAATAACTCCTCTTTAAATGGCAGCACTGGTGCTTTCCTCGGGTTTCTCTCTGTCAGCGATTTCTTGTCGTTTCCCTTCTTGTTTCAGCGCTGCTGTTGTTTTTGTATTTTCTCATCTGTTGATGTCAGTCTCGGCATGAAACAAGGATGCTGTCCCCTTAGCCAGGCGGCCTCACAGTGGCATGGTTAGGGGATAAATTGTGGAGACATGTTTATCAACATAGAAGAAGTGTAAGTTACCCCTTGTTGGAAGGGAATAATGGGGCCTAATTGAGCTGTAACATGCTGGCTGGTTGCCAGACCCTTGAATTGAAAAGTCTCTCCATCAGAGGGGGGTCTGGGGAGAGGGAGGAGGCTGTTAAAACACGGTAGGACATTCTAACATAGATGTGAAACTTGTAAACCTATTAACCACACTTGGATCTGGGTGAATTCAGTTAAAACTAACATACAAATCTACACATCTACCTGCGAGTGTAAAGTTTGTAGGAGGAGAGCATCTGAGATGCCTTTTTTGTCAACGAAAGCACAGCTGTGTTAAAGTCAGATCAGTCCTCTGGAGAAACAGCACGGCCTGTCTCCTGGCACCTGCCTTGCCAAGAACAGTAGGAAGAAAGGAGGGGGAAAGAGAGAAAAAGAGAGGGAGCATGAGCGGGTGGGAAGGAGGAAAAACCCAGCTGCCTCTGTGCCTGAGCCCTGTGCTGCTTTTAAAAGAGTGGGAAGGAGAGGAGAGGGAGAGGCATGGAGACTGCTGGCACCATCTGTACTTGTCTTTTGTATTCCAGCCCTCATCTTTACACAGAGCGATGCTGGTGTGCTCAGTGTTCAAATGAAAGGAGAGGAGGTGCAATTTGGTGTGCGATGCTCTGAGAGGAGAAGATGTGTGTTTGTGTGTTGATGCTGAAATTTTGTTTTGTCCTCGGAAATTTGGTGCGCTCAGAGGACATCTTGTGCCCTGTTTATTTTGCCTATGTGTGCTTGTTAATATGAGCCAGTGTGGTGTCTTTCCTTATCTGTGTGTGTGTCAGTAAGCTTGTACTCTGCAAGCACTCATGTGTGGTCACATCTCTAGGTTGCTATGTTTGTAATGGCAGTTAGAAGCTTTTGTTTGTTCCTCCCTCCCATCAACCACATTAGCCTGATGTCTCTTCTGTTACTGACTCACTCAGCCTTTTTTTTTTTATCTCTGTCTGTCTCTTCCTCTCTCTCTCTCTCTCTCTCTCTGCCCCTCTGTAATACGTGCCGTGGAGGCCTGTCCTTGCATGTGACAGCAGGGTGGATCTGCCTGCAAGGACAGCCTGCACTGTTTTCTGTTATATTGACGTGGCTTTTTGCGTGAACCGCAGCTGAAATCACCAAGCACTCTGTCTCACCACCTGCCCCTCCCTCACTCCTCACTCAGCCTAGAAGTGCTGTGAATCATAAGAGGAGGTGGCTGCTCTGCTCTCTGACCGAATCCACATTCCCCTTGTTGTCCGATGCTGCACAGAGTGGCTATAAGGAGGCAGGTGAAGCAAGAGGGAGAGAAAAAGGAAAAGCAAGTCTTTGGTAGTTGGCACAGTACAAAAACATGTACCGCAGATGAAAATGCATATGATCCAACACCCTCTGTGGTAGCTACCTAACCAAGTGGTACAGTAGGTAGGTGGAGAGGAGGGAAGGGCTGGAGTTCATCTGAAGGCCCAGAGTGAACCCTAGTGGCCAAGAGCAGCAGTGACATGCTGGATTGAAGTTGATCCTTTATACTGCTGCACAAAGGCACCTCTTTTTGTTTCTTAGCATAACAGGGATGTTCTGTAGTGTGCAAAAAACGCAAGGGGAAAACCAACACAAAGGCCCAAATCACATTTTCATAAAATTAACCTTTTTATTTTTTGATTTTTGATGTTAGGTTAGTTTGTATGTCTGAATGTTGAAAAGTGAGCTATTTGTCGTCTAGCCAAAAACGTACATGCAAATTAGTTTATACTATAACATATTTCATCAGCTTTTACCACTGCTTTGTGTATTATAATTATAAATTTGGGTTTATTGGTCAATTTTATATATTAACAAGAGAATTTTGATGAATGAAATGGCCTTTACAGGACAGACAACTAAAGATGAAGACTAGTTTGACAGTAAAAGGATGGGATCCCACCATCAAGTCTGACAGACAGGGCAAAACTACAGAACAAGATTTTCTAGCTGAGGAAAAAGCTATTACATTGTTCTTTGTTGTTCACTGGGTGAGCTTTTCGTATGCTGTCACTTTCTTCATTATGTGAAGATTCAGTTTCTCATTTCACTGCATGCATTCATTCCTCCATAGAAAGTCTTCATGTCATTTTCCCAGTAAACGTGTTTGCAAATCACTGAGAGGTGAAGAACAAAACAGGAAGTGCGACTAACCAGGCCACTAATGTGTGTCCTGTTGCTTGCATGGATATCTGGGCAACCCTGTTACTCATCTGAATGTATGAAAAGCTTAAGTGACATTCTTAAAGAACGAGTGTAAGAAA